AGCTGAAATGTTTATTGCTAGACGAGGTCGCTCGTATATAGTTTCCGGATCAACTCCGATGCCACACTAAGATCGGCTCAGAGTAAACAAACTCTCGTGCCGAGCTGGGCTTCACTGGCAAATTCATCGGGAGACGCTAAGTACGAGTATATCCGCGAGAGACTACACGTGCGCGGCAGCTGTGGATACAGGTGTCCCGCCAGTGAGATGAGCTGATAAAAAAAACACCCAGCCACTGCACAACACACATGCGCCTTCTAAACCTCCGTGACAAATGAATATGATTAAGAAAACAGCTCTCTTACGGACCAGTCCAGCTTTTATCCCCAGAGTATAGGAGTAGCCACGGTGACTACCTTAACAGCGAGCGTTCAAATCCTAGAGCTCTGAAATCAAGCCAGCTGCGAGTATTAAGATTGGACAAGTCACCTGCGTCATTTCTACGCCTGGGCGCCAGCGGGGTAACAGCTACATATGCACATGTCATGATTCATTCTCCGGCTATGAACATTCTCATTCATATGTCTTTCTCGTGGAGCCCTGGGACATAACATTCATTTCTAGGTACTTTTATTGTTTATCCCATTACATATACACGAACTCTACGTGTATCTATGTTTATCTAGTACGAAAAAAACGTTAGCACCACCAACTGATATTCACTTTTTTTTAGAATTCTCCCTCAGGATATGGAACACTTTTCTTCACCTCCAACTCATATTCATCTTTAAACGCTCCCTCGGGATATGGAAGATTTTTCTTTTAAAGTCCAACGCTGGGCCACTCCCCTTCCCACATTTCAACTTTTCATTTCATCGTATCGTTGTATATCATAGTAATCCTTTCTGATTCAATCGAGTTCACCTAAACCTTTTCTCTCCTACACCACCACCAACTCCCCAAAAAACGAGGAGGAAGCAAAAACAAACAAACAAGCAACAAAAGGAACTCCGCAGTATCATTCCCTTTCGTCATGTGAGGACCAGAGACCATAGGACCGAAGCCAGACCGGGTCGGATTTCATCGCTGAGACACCCGTCAACTTAGCCCTCCGAACGCCACGACGGCTTCTGTGTGCTCCCCTCACGCATTCGGACGAGGTGTCGCACAAGGCAGTCGAGATATCGGAAAATGTTAAATGGAAGAAATGAATGCGCCGGATAGAGTAACAGGAGTGATACTAAGATTACAGCACACTTACATAACTATAATGCGTGTAATATGTGTGTAGTTATCAATGTCTATGTCCACGTCTGTCTCTATGTAATTGCACATGTTATATACATGTATTTCAACAAATGTATATAAATGTATCTATGAAAATTATATATATTTATAGATAGATGCGCATGGTTTGGTAAGCGCGCGCGCACGCGTGCCTGCGTGTATACATACGTACAGATACACATATACATACATATATATACACATACACACATATAAATACTATATACATATGTATGCATACACATATATACACATACATAGGCCTACGAGTATATACACATTTACACCCATTTACACCCGCACACGCGCGCGCGCGCGCACACACACACACACACACACACACACACACACACACACACACACACACACATATATATAGACAATAATACATAGCACCATGTATAAACATAAGTATGTCTAAAACCTATACGTATATTTACGTATATATTTATGTAATATATATTCATATAATTTTATGTATGAATATATATACATATATGCTTGTAACCGTATAAATGCACATGCACATGCACTTGTACATGTGCATGTACATGTACATGTACATGTACATGTACATGCACATGCACATGTACATGCACATGTACATGCGCACACACGCACATTCACACACATACGCATGCACACACACCTGGACTACTGATTATCTGTAATATTAAAACAGGGCTTCACACCTTACACCATTTAGTTACTTTTAAAATCTGAATGTCAACGCGCAAATGTGGCACTTGAGGTTTGTACGTTCATTGTATATGATCTGAAATATAGTTTTAAATTCTTTACAATTCTCTGTAACAAATTAGTATTTTTCGTAGTTATCCTATCTTATCTTTAATTCCTTAAAAAGTGTATAATCCAGCTTGCACCACATTACGGATTTAACTTCTCACAGCTGTCCCCACGTTATGAAAGAAACTTCTTATCGTAACGGTCGAACGTCATAAGTATGAATAGGAACTAATGGTTTTAGTTTTTTTTTTAATTGTGGATGATAAAAAGCAACACTCCTTGTTTCTCTTTATCGCTCCAAGTCTCTTCTCATTTTTAATTTTCGTTTTTTTTTCTTGCCATAAATACGGAAACAAAATAGCATGCAGTAATGGTAAAAAAAATACAGTAAAGCAAACACAAAATACCTACTGCATCAAAACACGACAGAAATAATGGAACATAAAAAAATGCGAAAAGGAAGAGAGAGGATTGAAATAAACCTGCGGATGTAAACCACACAGCGAGCATCATCATCATCAAGTACCTGGTAGATGGGAATGCGACTCTTCTCGTCTCGCTCCTTGTCTCTTTCTCTGCTCTTCCTCCTGTGCTTGTGGTTCTCGCCGTTCTGCTTATCCTCGGGGGGCGGGGTGTTCAGCTTATTTTCCCCGCTCTCACTGCCGTTGTTGTTATTGTTGTTGTCACCTTCCATGGCTGCGAGCGACGGTGCCAACAGGCTGGGAAGGTAGGATACCCGGCCGAGAGGGTCCTCGATGGGTCCTTGATAGGCTGAGGACGAGGAGGTGGTAAGCTTGGAGGACGACCTGCTGAATGTCAACACTCACACCTGGTCGTCTCCGCCAGCTGGCCACATGTCGTGCCTCGTCGTTCCTCGTAGCCCAGGACGACCACCCTCCTCGTGGCCCTCACACCATCCTCACTAACGACACTGGTTCACGTTGCTCTCGCGCTTGCCACCGACACCGACTGACAACATCCACGAGAATGCCAGTGTGTGTTGCTTGAGAGGCTCAGGTTCAGTTTAATATGCAGGCCACGCCAGACCGGTCCTACAAGTATACATTCCTGGGCACGCTGTGGGCGTTTGTGGGCGTACGGGCGTACTCATTTGGTTATCCTCGCGCATGGGAGATATCGGACTTTAAATCCTTACTAAAGGAGGCCACATTCATTCCCCGCATACGGAGCACTCGTAACCGAAACGTTCGGGTCTTGGCTGGACGTGAATCTGGTCATCAACTAGGCTGGTTGCCCACAAACTCACTGTCTCCTTACTTAACAGTCAAACCACACTGAGCGTCATATCACCTCGCGGACATGACAGAATCTCAGCCTGTCATCGAAATGTCAAGCACTGCACTCCAACCTGGAGTTCGTTTCAGTTCTTACTCCTACAGCCGTGCGACATCTTCCGTGCAAGCACGGAATATCACGAGCAGCAGGACATACAGACAGGAACAGGGTCAATGTTAGACTGACAGGCTACAGGTCCTCCCACCCTTCAAACCCCCCCGTCACACACCCCATGCCCTTACCTGGTGCTGCAACATCACACAGAATCCAATATCATGTCCGATCGACCGTCGCTCGTCTCATGAATATATTCGTCAATTGTTGCAATCCACAAATTGGTCAGAAATCGAATAAATCCACATATCTATATAATCACACACATCCCAGAAAATACAAAATTAAATAGAAGTAGCTGGAAACTGTGACCGGTACCCACCCCAAGTCCGCCCCCATGAACGGCGCCAGAGGTACGACGAGCACCGCCTCTGCACGCCTCTTATCACGATCCCCAGGCTCCACCACGTGTCTGCCACACACATTCTGGGGGATCAAGTATTCCTGCACCTGGACCGAGTGTGAACAGCGTCCCAAAATAATGACAAACCCTGGGATGAGGCAATGGAAGAACAGATGACGAAGCCGAGGACTGTAGCTACTCGTAGAAGGGAGTTGCCAAGCGCCAATATCTCATATTTTCGAAGCGCCTGTATTGTTTTACATTCTACACTTTCCGCCGACAAACGTCCTCCTTCGCAAATGGCTTCTGGCATAACGACTCAATATTAAGAAACTAAGCTTATCCCATGCGATTCTCTCATGCAGAACGCTTACTTACATCCCACTTTGAGTTGCTTTTCGTAAACTTGTTCCAGGACCAGAGGTGAGACCACATACTACACGTTCATTCTGCTTGTGCATTTTAATCAGAAATTCTTTTTATGGACGAATTCTACGAGACGCTTTATCAGGACAGGTTCCCTGTTATCGGCTGTGCATTCACGGACTTGTTATGTCTTCCAAATGTAACCAAATATATGCCTACATACATGATTCGTATCTCCCTAAGGAAAAAGATTTAATGGACACGCACAAATTACCACAGGCCTATATAATTGTTTATAAATGCATGTAAACAACTTGATGGGTAAGCTAACAAGCAAACAATCTTGCAAAAAATGGGCAGACACAATGGCAAACAGACCTTTTATAGGTACACAAGACAGCTGTATGGAAAGCCCAGCATATAACCAATACAAATTCATTCCGTTATCTGAAGCGTTCGCCGAGATGAATACTGAGGAAATTATGAATATGATATCATTAATTTTCATTCATTTCTCTTTCAATCTTGCTATTTTTCTCTGTGCCCATACCTAACCACCCTCTAACACGACTCGTTGTCATTTCACTTCACGATCCATATCCATATACATTTCTCTTTCATTCTCATTCTGTCACTCTCGCATTCTCCCCGTCTCCCTCTCTCTCGCATTCGCCCCGTCTCCCTCTCTCGCATTCTCCGTCTCTCTCGCATTCGCCCCGTCTCTCTCTTTTGCATTCGCCCCGTCTCCCTCTCTCTCATTCTCCCTCTCTCTCCCTCTCTCTCATTCTCCCTCTCTCTCCCTCTCTCTCATTCTCCCTCTCTCTCCCTCTCTCTCATTCTCCCTCTCTCTCATTCTCCCTCTCTCTCATTCTCCCTCTTTCCCTCTCTCTCATTCTCCCTCTTTCCCTCTCTCTCATTCTCCCTCTCTCTCATTCTCCCTCTCTCTCATTCTCCCTCTCTTTCATTCTCCCTCTCTCCCTCTCTTTCATTCTCCCTCTCTCTCTCTCTCTCCCTCTCTCTCATTCTCCCTCTCTCTCATTCTCCCTCTCTCTCATTCTCCCTCTCTCTCATTCTCCCTCTCTCTCATTCTCCCTCTTTCCCTCTCTTTCATTCTCCCTCTCTCCCTCTCTTTCATTCTCCCTCTCTCCCTCTCTCTCATTCTCCCTCTCTTTCATTCTCCCTCTCTCCCTCTCTTTCATTCTCCCTCTCTCCCTCTCTTTCATTCTCCCTCTCTCCCTCTCTCCCTCTCTCACATTCTCCCTCTCTCTCATTCTCCCTCTTTCCCTCTCTTTCATTCTCCCTCTCTCCCTCTCTCTCATTCTCCCTTCTCTCCCTCTCTCTCATTCTCCCTCTCTCTCATTCTCTCCTTCATCTCCCTCTCTCTCATTCTCCCTCTCTCCTTCATTCTCCTCTCAGCTCTCCTCATCTCCCTCTCTCTCATTCTCCCTCTCTCTCTCATTCTCCCTCTCTCCCTCTCTTTCAGTCTCCTCTCTCCCTCTCTCTCATCTCCCTCTCTCCTCTCTCTCATGCCCCTCTCGCCCTCTCTCTCATTCCTCCTCTCTCTCATTCTCCCTCTTTCCCCTCTCTTTCATTCTCCCTCTCTCCCTCTCTCTCATTCTCCCTCTCTCCCTCTCTCTCATCGCCTCATTCTCACCTCTCTCTCTCATTCTCCCTCTCTCCCTCTCTCTCATTCTCCCTCTCTCCTCTCTCTCATTCTCCCTCTCTCCCTCTCTCTCTTCTCCCTCTCTCTCATTCTCTCCCTCTCTCTCATTCTCCTCTCTCCCTCTCTCTCATTCTCCCTCTCTCCCTCTCTCTCATTCTCCCTCTCTCCCTCTCTCTCATTCTCCCTCTCTCTCCCTCTCTCTCATTCTCCCTCTCTCCCTCTCTCTCATTCTCCCTCTCTCCCTCTCTCTCATTCTCCCTCTCTCCCTCTCTCTCATTCTCCCTCTCTCCCTCTCTCTCATTCTCCCTCTCTCCCTCTCTCTCATTCTCCCTCTCTCCTCTCTCTCATTCTCCTTCTCTCCCTCTCTCTCATTCTCCCTCTCTCCCTCTCTCTCATTCTCCCTCTCTCCCTCTCTCTCATTCTCCCTCTCTCCCTCTCTTCATTCTCCTCTCTCCCTCTCTTCATTCTCCTCTCTCCTCTCTTCATTCTCCCTCTCTCCCTCTCTCTCATTCTCCCTCTCTCTCTCTTCTCCCTCTCTCTCATTCTCCCCCTCTCCCTCTCTCCCTCTCTCTCATTCTCCCTCTCTCCCTCTCTCTCATTCTCCCTCTCTCCCTCTCTCTCATTCTCCCTCTCTCCCTCTCTCTCATTCTCTCTCTCTCATTCTCCCTCTCTCCCTCTCTCTCATTCTCCCTCTCTCCCTCTCTCTCATTCTCCCTCTCTCTCATTCTCCCTCTCTCTCATTCTCCCTCTCTCCCTCTCTCTCATTCTCCCCCTCTCCCTCTCTCTCATTCTCCCCCTCTCCCTCTCTCTCATTCTCCCCCTCTCCCTCTCTCTCATTCTCCCTCTCTCTCATTCTCCCTCTCTCCCTCATTCTCATTCTCCTTCTCTCTCTCATTCTCATTCTCCCTCTCTCCCTCTCTTTCATTCTCCCTCTCTCCCTCTCTTTCATTGTCCCTCTCTCCCTCTCTCTCATTCTCCCTCTCTCTCATTCTCCCTCTCTTTCATTCTCCCTCTCTCCCTCTCTTTCATTCTCCCTCTCTCCCTCTCTCTCATTCTCCCTCTCTCTCTCATTCTCATTCATCCCCCCATTCTCTCTCTCTCTCTCTCATCCCCCCATTCTCTCTCTCTCTCTCTCTCATCCCCCATTCTCTTTCTCTCTCTCTCATTCCCCCATTCTCTCTCTCTCTCTCTCTCTCTCTCTCTCTCTCTCTCTCTCTCTCTCTCTCTCTCTCTCTCTCTCTCTCTCTCTCTCTCTCTCTTTCTCTCTCTCTCATCCCCCCATTCTCTCTCTCTCTCTCTCTCATCCCCCCATTCTCTCTCTCTCTCTCTCTCATCCCCCCATTCTCTCTCTCTCTCTCTCTCATCCCCCCATTCTCTCTCTCTCATCCCCCCATTCTCTCTCTCTCTCTCATCCCCCATTCTCTCTCTCTCTCATCCCCCCATTCTCTCTCTCTCTCTCTCTCTCTCTCTCATCCCCCCATTCTCTCTCTCTCTCATCCCCCCATTCTCTCTCTCTCTCTCTCTCTCTCTCTCTCATCCCCCCATTCTCTCTCTCTCTCTCTCATCCCCCCATTCTCTCTCTCTCTCTCTCTCTCTCTCTCTCATCCCCCCATTCTCTCTCTCTCTCTCTCTCTCATCCCCCATTCTCTCTCTCTCTCTCATCCCCCCATTCTCTCTCTCTCTCTCTCTCTCTCTCTCTCTCTCTCTCTCTCTCTCTCTCTCTCTCTCTCTCTCATCCCCCCATTCTCTCTCTCTCTCTCATCCCCCCATTCTCTCTCTCTCTCTCTCTCATCCCCCCATTCTCTCTCTCTCTCATCCCCCATTCTCTCTCTCTCTCTCTCTCATCCCCCCATTCTCTCTCTCTCTCTCATCCCCCCATTCTCTCTCTCTCTCTCATCCCCCCATTCTCTCTCTCTCTCTCTCATCCCCCCATTCTCTCTCTCTCTCTCTCTCATCCCCCCATTCTCTCTCTCTCTCTCTCTCATCTCTCTCTCTCATCCCCCCATTCTCTCTCTCTCTCTCTCTCTCTCTCTCTCTCTCTCTCTCATCCCCCATTCTCTCTCTCTCTCGCTCTCATCCCCCCATTCTCTCTCTCTCTCGCTCTCATCCCCCATTCTCTCTCTCTCTCTCATCCCCCATTCTCTCTCTCTCTCTCTCTCATCCTCCCATTCTCTCTCTCTCTCTCATCCCCCCATTCTCTCTCTCTCTCTCTCATCCCCCCATTCTCTCTCTCTCTCTCATCCCCCCATTCTCTCTCTCTCTCTCATCCCCCATTCTCTCTCTCTCTCTCTCTCATCCTCCCATTCTCTCTCTCTCTCTCTCTCTCTCTCTCTCATCCCCCCATTCTCTCTCTCTCTCTCTCATCCCCCCATTCCCTCTCTCTCTCTCTCATCCCCCCATTCTCTCTCTCTTTCTCTCTCATCCCCCTATTCTCTCTCTCTCTCTCTCTCATCCCCCCATTCTCTCTCTCTCTCTCTCTCTCATCCCCCCATTCTCTCTCTCTCTCTCATCCCCCCATTCTCTCTCTCTCTCTCATCCCCCCATTCTCTCTCTCTCTCTCTCTCTCTCATCCCCCCATTCTCTCTCTCTCTCTCTCTCATCCCCCCATTCTCTCTCTCTCTCTCATCCCCCCATTCTCTCTCTCTCTCTCTCTCTCTCATCCCCCCATTCTCTCTCTCTCTCTCTCTCAT